GTGGATCTTGGAGACAGAGATGGGTATTTTAGCTGCACTTTCAGTCTTCTGGCTCTGTTGCTAGTGTCATTCCGTGACATTCGGTTAACCATGATAACTAGAGCCTGGGGTTCCTTTTCCTGTCAAGGGAGCTGTTCTCTTGTGTGCTGCACTTTAAATGATGTGGTTGAACTTTGCGTCTGTACTAGCTCTCCACTACACAGAAAGTGTTTAATTTGAGAGGACCAGCCACGCACGAGGTCCCTGCCCGAGGACGTGTCAGGAGAGAGGAGACGGTGGCAGCAAAGTGGAAACCACAGCGAGTTGCTGCCGGATGGCTGTGTTGGCCTGGCTCTTGCTCCTCCAGGGAAAAAGTATCGGGACAAAAGGATTACGCCTGATGCTGTCTTGCAGATGCCCCTCTCTGTGTTTATGGTTGAGTTGAGTTTTCCAGCTGGTCTGGGTTTAAGTCAGCATTATGACTGGACGTGTAGCAGCCTYATAGTGGATTTAGTAGCCTACTTTACAAATTCCCACTGGTGAATGTGGCAGATGCGAACCCAAAACTTCCCGGAGAGCTCTTGGACACGTTTTCTTCATTTAAAAAAAGTCCAAGCAGCACACTAAATAYGTCTGTGAGCAGATTCTTTGCTCCTGTTCTCAAAAGATAAGATTGCATCAGCTCAGAATTTTGTTTCATTTTCCTGTTAATATTTTATTTCCTGTAAGAGTCATTCAGCAGCCACGAGCGCTGCGCTCCAACCATAYGTGCCCCATGGTGCACAACGTGGCAAGAGCTGGACCAACCCTTACTCCGGTTGACTTAAGATCCGTGAGGGCTGTTTAGGAGCTTTCCATAGGTGCATTGCCCTTCACCGAGGTATCCTCATCTGATAGGAATTGTGATATTTCCTGGAAAAAAAAAAAAAAAGAAATACCTGCAGCCTCTGTAGAAGCTGTGTTTAATGTTCAACAGGGTTGTTGCAGCAGTGACCGGCCTCCCCACTGTAGTAGCAAGCGGCTCGAATGGCACCGATAAAGCTGTGCCATAAAGATAAGACGCGGCAGCACCAGGGAGCTTCCCGGTGCCCGGAGCAGTGAACGTTCTCGGGTAGATTTCTGCTCTCGTGCTGCTTGCCAGCATTTTCTCTCCTTGTGTGTCTGAGCAGTGACTGAGCACCCCTCTGTGTGCTCAGGAGCTGCTCTTCCCTTGTGCGCCCGATACCACCATCTCCTTTACATCCTTGCTCTACCCAGTTGATTGCTTAGGACCTCGCTGTCCCCTGGTTTGCTTGCCTGGAGAAACCCAGCACCTCTGCTGTGCTGGGTTTCCTCAAGAGCAGACCTTGGGGAAGGGCTTTTCCTGACTAAGGGACCGTCTTTGGATGCAGTCATTGCCCAGGTAGTACAGACAGACCGTGGATTTCCCTGTGGCACAGTGGGAACAGAGTGCTCTGCTCCTCTGCACCGTGTAGCCGTCCCCTTTGCAGCTCTCTGCCAACAGCGTTCATCTCATCAAACATTATTCTCTCCTCCCTCACTTTGGGGCTTTCCCTGGTATTTTTCCTGCYTCATTTGCTTGTGCAAGCAGAGTCAGGATCAGTCTGGCTTAAGGTCAGCTCCCCCAGCAAGCAGCCCTTCGCTGCCCTGCGCCCAGGCTCGAGAGAGCCTTTGGTGCAAATTTTGTCTGCTGCCATCAGTGGGATTTCAGTGCTCTAGCAAGCCTGACGTTGGAAACAAATGGGCAAAAAATGGTTATTTTTAAAACTGAAACCACAAGGAATATGTGGAATTGATCCAGGGTCTATACCTTTTAGAAATGCAGAGTGTGTGGCTGTTAAAATACCTCTGCAAAGGTCAGCAGAACCTAAGAAATAGATGTACTGCCCTTTGGAGAAGGTGAGGTTTCAGATGTGTGATAACTGCATCTCTGCTTGCTGCTGGGAGCGAGGGTCTGCGCTAGCTCAGTCGCGTTCTAGTGCAGCACRTGGGGCACCCCAAAGGCTCTGGGTGGACATATTGAACTCCAGGCAGTGTTCCTTGTTTCAGTGAGGAGCCCTCACCTACAGCATCTGTGTCTCATCAGCTGAGGACCTCGGGACATCATCCGTGAGGCTGCTGCTTCAGGGGGAAGCCCTGAGTGGGAAGGTGAAGGTTTTGCGGGTAGCAGAGGGACTGGAGCGTGTGCAAAGCAGTAAAAGCTGCAGATTAGGGCGGTGCAAATGCACAAGTGGTTTTTTGGAGCTTGTCTAGGGCCTTTCTGGTGCAGGAAGGCGTAAAACTCACGGCCCAGCTCAGGTGTTCACGCAGCAGGGAATGGCGTTATAAATAAATTATCCGTTCATTTCCTCCAGGAGAATTTCCTATTGTTTAGCCACAATATGCTTTCCTGTTTTTTTTTTTTTTTTTAAACAAGATTAAACCAAAACAAAACAACAGAATTCCCCAAACCCTGCCCTGAAGTTCCCCTCCGGCAGGGCAGATCGGGAGCAGTGTTTGGAGCGGGCGCTGGGCGATTGCTCGCCATCCTTGGCGCTGCTCTCGCTGAGAGCCTGCTGCTGCTTTGGTACCAGCCCGTTGGGCAGCTGCTGCTTGCCCAAACTGCGGGGCTCGCTGTCCCACCGGAGTTCCCACCAGCTTGGTGTGGGGGGACGGCGGATGCTGCACGCTGGGTGGAAAGCAGGGGCTTTCTGTGACGCCGGGGAGGAAAACGGGACAAGGAGGCTCTTCCCTCCTCCTTGCCAACAAAGTGACACTGAGGTCGGGCCGTTGCATTTTGCAGGGTGGCTATTTTTAAGCATCCAAGAAAAATGCAGTTCAATTGATTATTCAGCTAGGGCTGCTCCGCACCGGGCAGCTGGGCCTGGTGCCGTGCGCGGTCCCCGTGGGAAGCCTTGTCCTGGATCCCCCTCGGGACCTGAGCATGACCYGTGTCCCAAGCCGAGCTGCATGAGGGGTCCAGGAGGACGCAGGAAAAGCAGGAAACCAGCGCAGGAAAGCACAGCCGGAGCAGAGCTCACATCTCCATGCTCAGACCACCAGCCTGGCCTCACATGCCAGCCCGGGAAGGGAATCAAGGGAACCTTGTCCCGGAGCGCGGTGATTCTGCGGGAAGGTGTCCGGCCCGCACGCTGCTGTGCGGAGGTGACCGGGCAGGGGGTAACGGCCCCGGGACCTGTTTCCTCCTCCCGCTGTCCCCAGGGTCCCTGCCCCGCTGGCTGGGCAGCAGGATGGAAACCCCCTGCCCGGGGTGAGCGTGAGGGTACATTTATGTACATTAGCRTGTGGACAGGGCTAGCCCTGACCTGCTCCTATCAGGGAGCGTCACGTGCGTGTGGCACGAAGCAGCAGAGGACAAAAGGCCTTTTCTTTAGCTGCTGCTTTTGCCTGTGATCATTTGGGACATCCCCCCCCCCTTTATTTTACCTTGGCAAAAACAGGGATTTTGTGCCTTGCTAGTGCTTGGACTCTTGCTGCAGAGGCCACATTTTGAGGGGCGATGCTGCGTTCAGATCCAGCCCRTGTCCCCTCTTGCGTTCGCAAGCACGGCTGCTGCTTGGAGACTTTAGTAACTCAGCAGACACAAGTGCCAGCGCCTCTCTGCCCTACCTGACGTGGTTTTGTTTGCGAGGGGATGTCACAATGGTGGAACTCTTGCCAGCTCTCCCAGCTAAGTTCCCAGCGTCTTCTGTTGTTCTTTTCCAAGAGAGAAAAGCATCAGAAAATCCTTCCCTTGACACGAAGCAAAGGCGGCGGTTAGACACGGGAAGGAAGAAGCTTGAAGGAAGGGATGGACGGGCGGTTCCTAAAGCTTCAGCCGTGGCAAAAAAAAAAAAAAAAATCCACACAAGTGTGCGCATGTGATGCACTTTCATACCTAACAGGATGACTTGGAGCACTCAGGCCTTCTTCCATGGTTTGCTTTAGCAATCTGCAAGGTCAAAGGCAAAACAAAAGAGAGGTAGGGTGGTGGGGGCAGAGTGGGCTTGAAAAACTGGTGCTGGTCATGGTTATGGTCATGGGAACCCCAGGCTTGGAGTAGGATCTCATGYGTTAGGGACCATATGAAAGCGATGATCTGCCTCAGTAATAGCTAAGAATCAGGATTGAATGGTTACATTCTTCTTTCATTTCTGCTTCACGCTCGTATGAACTTCAGTTTAGGCCTCAAATCTACTTTTCTTGAAATTGATCTCGAAATTGCTATTGACTTTAAATGCCGCAAGATCTCATCCATAAATTCTTCTCCCATCTGTAAAATGAGGATGGCAGGATTTCTGTGCCATCTGTGGTGCTGTGAAGCTAAAAACAATCATCGTTTATAAAGTGCTTTGAGCTCAAATGGGAGGTTCTGTGTAAAGGCGAGGCTTTGCAGGATGAAATGTTCTTCCGTGTGCCAGTTGGATCTGCTATCTGAACTAGGGGCTGGGTTGGAAGGCTTTAGAAGAACACTCTGGTGATGTGGAGGGAGTCCTCCAGCTTCAGAACGCCTTGAATTGCTTGTGTTGGTCAAGAGCTCCTTTTCACTGCTAAAAAATGAAGGGACAGAGGAGACAGGGGCTTCATGCCCCACAAAAAAAAAAAAAAAACATATCTGTTCAGTATCACCTTTCAGCATGAGCTTCTCTGATCTTAACAATCATGATTTGCAGTGATCATTGTGAGTACGGCCACTATCAGCCAAGCTGCTGTCCTAACAACGTGTGTGTTTTAAACAGGAAACTTAACAGTTACAGTCCAAAGTATCAGGCCTTTCTGAGCAGAATAGGATGCATTTGACGAAAGCAAAAAGACATTATTTTTGTCAAGCTTCTCGGGGTGTAAAAGGGCAGGCAGTTGGCCAAACCTTTGCGCAGAAGTGCCCGCCTGGCTTCATGTTTCTGTAAAGCTGCAGGCCGGTTTGCATAACAAAGAGCAGCCTGTGGCTCACCACAACGTGAGTGTAAATAGAGCAGTTCTCAGCGAGCAGTGCCAGCAGAAAGCGAGCTGCAGGGGCCATAGGCTGAGCAAAGCAGGTTAAGCGTTTCTAACGGCGCCGGTGTGTTCTCCTTTTGCAGACACCAGTCACCAGACCCGCTCTGTGTCCAGCCGCCCCTACTACAGCCTGCCCAACAGCAGCCATGAGAGACGCTCTGTCCTGGCGATCACGGAGCCGCCGCGCTTCCACTCCCAAGCCAAAGGCAAGAAYGTCCGTCTGGATGCTCACTCTCGCAAGGCCACCCGGAGGAACAGTTTCTGTAATGGGGTCACCTTCACCAACCGGCCCATCCACCTCTACGAGAAAGTGAGGTTGAAGCTGGTGGCTGTGCACCACGGGTGGAGCGGTGCCCTGCGGTTTGGCTTCACCATCCACGACCCGTCGCAGATGAGCTCTGACGACATACCAAAGTACGCCTGTCCGGACCTGGTGACCCGGCCTGGATACTGGGCCAAAGCTTTGCCGGAGCGGTTCGCCGTCAGAGACAATGTCTTAGCCTTCTGGGTTGACCGTCATGGGAGAGTCTTCTACAGTATTAATGATGAGGAGCCAATATTGTTTCACTGTGGTATTAAAGTTTCCGGTCCTCTCTGGGCACTCATAGATGTCTACGGAATTACCCATGAAGTGCAAATACTAGGTAGGTGCATAGCTTGGCTGGTGACATATTCTTCTGGTTGATCCTTCTACCAAGGATGTGTGCTCTATCTGGTCAATTGTTTCTATGGGACATTTAGATCAGCTAGTTTATTACTGGCTTTTTACCTCATATTAACTCTGTTTCTTTTCTTCATGGGGGGGATCCAGAAAGCATCTCATCATTGTCCTCAGAGTATCCATTTCAGAGATGTCAGAGATGGAAAGTCCTAAGGCTGTGCCTTACAGCAGCCCTGGGCTAGGCTAGATGGAAGTCTTTACCGTGCAGTGTAAGTGTCCAGACTAATAAATGTCCAGTAATACCGTGCAGCAGTAATAAGTGTCCAGTAATAAGTGTCCAGTAATACTGTGCAGCAGTATTTGGAGCTCAGACCTGCTGCTGAGGTTGCTGCAGGAGGGTGCTGCTTTACAGAGCAGAGGGCTTTACATGGGAGAGGGCAACGTGAGGGCAGTTGGGGTGTCAAACCTTGAGTTCAGAAACTCATTCCCACCCTGTTATTGCAACATGTGCTCCCTCTCCCAATTTGTTTCCTTTAGACAAGAGACTTAAGGCCATTTTGTCTTTGATTTCTCCTCACTGCCTTGTGTTACAGGTGATGGTAACTCCTGGCCTTGATGCCCACCTAGATCAGTAGCTTGATGAGCTGTGTTAACAACCATAGCCACATAGCCAGACTTACCTCTTCTCTTACAAACGGTCATCACCATGTGCTTGCTACAGCACTGGCTGCAGCGTGAGGAGAAATGCCAGGCTGCTCCTCCGTGTTTTGGGGTCCTTGTCCCAGTATATCACATCTCCCCTCGCCCTGCAAGCAGATGCTGCATTCAGGTGATGCGTGTCTGGTTTAGAAGGAAYCATTGGATAGTTTGCAAGAGAGGAKGGATTTGTTCCTGTTTGTTCCCAGCTCAATGGATTGCCATGGGGTGACTTGCTTTCTGTGACTTTTAAGGCATTGAATTTTTGAGTGAATTCGGTGTTAGATAGAGCACTTTCAATTGGTCTATGCTGTAGGGAATCCTTTTAAAACAAAATRTGCTCCCCTTTCCTGGAGGCTCCCAGGAGCTGATTTAGTCTTAACACCCAGGCTAAGCTGCACCTGCTGCACAGGATGGTGCTTGTGTCCTCACACTGAACAGACACCGGCTCTGAGYGGTGACATGCTTAGTTTAGTGGGCACGCAGCTCTGACGGATAATCTTCAAAACGGTACCAATCATTTTGCAGTCAGGAACGCTATGCATAAACAACACTTTGTGCTGCCTGCTCTGTTTGTCTCAAATGTGTAATTAAATCTTACCAGTAGCTTAGCCTGTAATTGCAACGGTGACATGCTTCAGCTCTGGTGCTCATCACAGAAGTGAAGGAACATTTGCAGTATTGGCCAGTACAGCTGCTTCACCACAACACTCCTTCTTTCTCATTAAATTACAGTTAGAAAAATTAAATTCAGCTTGTTCCCTCCCCTAGTCCTGGCCTGTGGCAGCCCAGAGTGCAGAGTGAAAGACGAGCCCTGAGAGCACCTGTGCTCTGGATTTATTTTTCCATCAAAATCCCAAGCGAACCCCATGGACCAAACCGATTAACTACAGCTGCCTCAGTGTCTTAGCAGATGCTCCCCATCTCTCTGACTCCTCCTTCCAACATTTTGCAAATAGAGCTGAGAAATGTAGCCGAAATGGAGATGCACAAAGTGCACCTTTCAGCATCATGAAGCTTGGCTGTATCCCGCTCCTCTCTCGGAGCTGTTCTTGCCAAACTCCCTGTGCTCACAAGCAGCAGCTGGTCCAGCCATCAAGACTACGCCGGAGGCCTCCCCTGCATGGGCTCCGGGGCTCAGGCAGCCTGTGCTCTGCAGCTGCTCAATGAGAGCGGGTGTTTTACCTTCTTTGGTAAAAGCCTTGTGATTTTTCTCCAAGCAGCAGGCAGGGTTGGTGCTGGAATGCTTCACTCTTCTCCATCTTTGGGAACACGAGGAGGCTGTTTCCTTCAGATGCTCTCATTTCCATATGCTTTGACCTTGCTCAGCTCTTTGTGCCTTCCCTCCAGAGAGAAATGTCCGAGCCACCCCAGGCAGTGCTGCTGGAAGAGGGAAAGGCATTAATTCCTAACCTCCCCATGCCTTTAAATCTCCTCTTGGCTATCTTGGCCAAGGAGAAAAGCTGGGAACTGAGTTGAGAACCAGCATCCTGGTTTTCTTTTTTTCTGGGAAAGTGGAAAATAACACTCTTATTTCAAAAATCTTCTAAGACCTGCAGCAAGTAGCTGCATGGCAAACTCTCAATTAAAAAGTCTTCACTTCTAAGAAGTTTTTCTAGTTTTGCACTGTGAACACCCCTGAGATAGTAGCTGTGGTTCAACTTGCTGGTGGAAGACATCAGCACTGGTAGGGTGCTGTGAGGGGTGATTTTCTTTAGCCAGGTGTATATATATTTTAACAAGTTCACTGTCGTGAAATATTTATGGCATCTTGGGCACACYTGAAAGGCTGGATCAGTCATGTAGGACCACGTTAGTTTACAGCTTTTCCCAGTTCACCAGTGGAAGGGGCTCTCRGATTACACGAATCCTGGATAATATGTGGTCTTCCTTTAGCTAGTGCCAAGATGCAGCCAGGCATTGATTTTCAACTGAGAAGAATGGATTTTGAATAGTCTGTAGACTGGAATAATAACAGTAGTAAGAGTAAAAATAGCCAGTTGTATCGTGAGCCTAACATCCCTTGTTTATCCCTGAATTTCTCCCACAGACAGCATGTTTGCAGAGACCATGACCACTGCCCGGCTCAGCTCTGCACGGCTCAGCACTTGCCTTCCTCAGAGCAACCACGATTCGGCCAACTTCAATAACAATGAGCTGGAGAATAACCAAGTGGTGGCCAAAATTGCCAACCTCAACTTGGGTCGGGTGCCAGGACTTCCCACAGACAACCACATCATCCCGTGCTGCCCCAGCAGACGGCAGCGGGCCCAGGGGGTGCCGGCCTTCCTGGACACAGATCTGCGATTCCACCCGACCCGTGGACCTGACATCACCTTTTCTCAGGACCGGATGGTCGCGTGCACCAACTGGCAAGAAAGCAATAGGACTTTGGTGTTTTCCGACCGGCCTTTGCACATCGGTGAAAGCCTCTTTGTGGAAGTAGGACATCTTGGGTTGCCGTATTACGGGGCCCTTTCTTTTGGCATCACTTCTTGTGATCCAAGTACTTTACGGACAAATGAGCTCCCGGCAGATCCAGACTTTCTCCTGGACCGCAAGGAGTACTGGGTGGTTTACCGAGCTTTCCCCGTCCTCAACAGCGGGGACATTCTCAGTTTCATGGTCTTGCCGAACGGAGAGGTGCACCACGGGGTGAACGGAGCCAGCCGAGGAATGCTGATGTGCGTGGACACCTCACAGTCCCTCTGGGTGTTTTTTACAATCCATGGTGTAATCAACCAGCTCAAAATATTGGGTAAGTGCAGCCCAAAGATGCGATAGCTGGAAACACCTGGCTAGTGCAGTTGCTTGGGCCAGAATCCAAGGTGCAGGTTTGCCTTAGCAGCCTTGGCTTTCGCAGCTGCTTGCATGAGGAAAGCGATCCCCATGTGAGTAAGCAGCTCCTGAGCTCACCTTGCTTTCCCAAACAAGAACAAGCGAGACACGGTAGCTCGAACGTAGATGTGTGCMACATATTTTAGTCCACCAGATACGGAGACTGGCAGTGTAAAATAAGCAACAGGGAAGGAGGTGGTGATGGATGTGCGTGTGCTTGGTCGGTTTTCAGAGTCCTGTGTAAAAGAGATTCTTAATAAACAAACCAAGCCAATATTGTCCTGCTTCAGCAGCTGCGATGCTTTCGTCAGCATGGCTGGGCTTTCAGCGTGTGCCTTGCTGACAGCACTGCTATCAAATGTCTCTTTTTGACTCGCGCTGGTGCCCCGTTACAGCGCTTTTCCTTTTCTCTCTTTAAGGATGTTGTCAACAAATCACATCTTGATAGCTTTGTAGAACAGGTTTTCTCATTTAAAGCAAGGTGCTTTCCCAGCTGCCTCTACTCTGATAAAAAGGCCGTGATAAACCCGAGGCTGCTCTTGCTGGAGAGGTTAGGATTGTGGGGAAGGGAGCTACRACCACAATCATGGATGTCAGATAACTTATTATTCATCTCATTGAAGGATGGGACAGAAATTATGCGATGCCGTAGCAAGGTCCAGCACCTGATGACCAAGGCGGTCGCATGTAGAATCCTGTGTTAGTGGTGAGGGGCAGCGCTCAGCTCGGCAGCAGGGAAGCCTCGCAGCCCCCTCACCCTCCGCTGTGTTCGCAGGCACTGTGCAGTCCAGCCCAGTGACCGTCTCTCCCTCAGGATCCCCCGGYGGCTCCCAGTACGACAGCGACTCCGATATGGCCTTCAGCGTGAACAGGTCGTCGTCGGCGTCCGAGTCGTCGCTYGGTGAGTGAGGGCTCAGCCCGAACGTGGGGCTGGCGGCTGTGCTGGCAGCGTGACCAGCTGCAGCTTGGCACCCACCAGCACGTCGGGGTTCCCTGGACGCAGCGCGCTGAGGCATCAACGTGCACACTAGCATGTGCCCCATGTAAAACACCAGGGTAAGGCTAGGGGGGAGATGTTACATCTACTGTGAAACCAACAGAAATAACTCAAAGAAAAAGTGAGTAGGTGAGAAGCTTTTCATGGCCCCGTGACATCAGTGGAGGGGAGTGGGGCTCTGCTCACAGTCCCCTGGGATGAGTGTGCAAATAACCTCGCTGCTCGAGGAAGCCCCGGCGAGCAGCACTTGGCCCTCRGTATAAAACAGATGTTGAGCTCAGACAATATTGTGCTACCAATTAGGTCGGTAAACTAAGTGGGGGGTGTTACTTGGCCATAGAAACTAGGCAACAGCTAGGGAAGGAAGTGCCTTAAAAAAATTTCCTCAGGGCGGTGCATGTTGTAAATTACCAGTCAAGTTTGYGCCGAGCTGGGAACTGAAGGAGCTTGTTTCTTCCTCCTCCTTTACAGTGACTGCTCCCAGCTCCCCCCTGAGTCCTCCCATCTCTCCTGTCTTTTCCCCTCCGGAGCCATCGAGCAGCAAGAACGGGGAATGCACCGTGTGCTTTGACAGCGAGGTGGACACGGTGATCTACACCTGCGGACACATGTGCCTCTGCAACACCTGCGGTCTTAAGCTGAAGAAGCAGCTCAACGCCTGCTGCCCAATCTGCCGACGGGTCATCAAAGATGTTATTAAAATATACCGTCCCTAGGGCCCGCCTCGGGCGGCAGGAGGGGAGCACCCCGCTGGCAGTACCCATGCCTTTCCGTCCCTGCTTATGGGTTATCGTGCTGGTCAGTCGTTATCAAGTGGCTCGTTGTCTGTGTTTCCTTATTTGACCGGTAGGGCACAATTCAGGGATAAAATTGAGCTGAGGATCYAACGGGGCCCAAAGCCAAGGCTGCCGTAAAAAGCCAGGCGTTGAATAGTCGCGTGCCTACTGGTGAAGCCAGTGAATCACTTTATGGACCCAAACCAGCTGCAAATGAGAGAGTGCAAAGGCTTCCCCCCCCCCCCCCGAGGAGAAGGCTGGCTATGGTGCAGACCAGGAGGGAGAGGTTGCCCTGGTTTCAGAGCTGGTTGCCACCACAGTCCCCAAGCCCCAACGCCCCCGAGCTGCTGCTGAGTGCTTGCTAAGGTGCCTGGTGCCCTGCTGTGATGGTACCACGTCTTGTCTTAGGATAAGACCTGGCTGGAAGGGTTCAGAGTGGACAAAACCCATCTGGAAATGCAACATTCATCATCTTGCTTATAACTGGGAAACAAGTTCTGGCCAAAATCGTAGTGCAGCGAGCTTCTCACTTGGGTTTTGGCCACCCGAACAGGCTGTGGGACACATGGAGAGGCTGGTTTGTGCTTAGATGAAGTGGATCTTTCCTTCC